GTGCGCCTGTATCTGTATCTATGTGCGTGTGTCTGTATCTGTATCTATGTGCGTGTGTCTGTATCTGTATCTATGTGCGTGTGTCTGTGTGTGTGTGTGCGTGCGTGCCGTCATCAGTGTACTAACCTGCACGATCCCGCGTGGCTCATGCAATGTCTGTGCTCACGGCGACACCCGCAGAATCCGGGAGCTGTGGCATGACACGGGCTCCATGACCCCCACTCGAGACACGTGCAGCTGCCCCCACAGTGCACTGCAAACAATAACAAAAGCACCAACAAGTGTCAACAACTGTCATTACACGCCAATGCATTGCACTTCACTGTAGACAATAACAAAAGCATTTTGTCAGTAACACCACAAACGTTTAGCGTGCTGCAGTGTAAACACACCGGCAAATATGCCAACGGAATCCAATAATAATAATAATAATAATAATAATAGTAATAATAATGCCGTGATCCACTTTGCATCTAGCACATTCTATACCTTCGTAGTCTATCCTGAAGTGCAAGTCGTATGGCGAAAACCAGGTCTGAGCAACGATGAGCACTTTGTTTTCCGTCGATTCAAAAGTTGGGTATCCATATTCGTTGTTGGTGCAGAACCTGGAAAAGTGTACAAAACATGCACACAAAGCCGAGCTATTGCTGTCAAAATGCAACAACTAAAGCAGCAGTAGCAGCAGCAGCAACAGCAACAGCCAAAGCAGCAGCAACAGCCAAAGCAGCAGCAACAGCCAAAGCAGTAGCAGCAACAGCAACAGCCAAAGCAGCAGCAGCAGCCAAAGCCGTAGCAGCAGCAACAGCCAAAGCCGCAGCAACAGCAACTGCCAAAGCCGTAGCAGCAGCAACAGCGATAGTGATAGCCAAAGCAGTAGCAACAACAGCCAAAGCCGTAGCAGCAGCAGCAACCGCAGCAACAGCAGCAACAGCCGTAGCAGCAGCAGCAGCAGCAACAACAACAGCCAAAGCAGTAACAACAGCAACAGCCAAGTCGTAGCAGCAGCAGCAACAGCTAAAGCCGTAGCAACAGAAACAGTAGCTCTACTTGTTAGGGTTAGAAGACAATCCGTCGACAAATGTATAGAAAATCTGTCGCACGGCCTAGTCGGGCTACAGCAACAGCAACAGCTACAACAGCATCAGACCAATTTATATATATATATATATATATATATCTGCCTAGAGGCACTAGCGCATCGTTTTACTTTGGTCCGCCTCTTCCGATGTCGTCGTATCTGACTTCGATCCAGTCCGGGCAGCCGTACTGGGGTGCGGCGACGCCGTTACTAGTGTGTACCCAGTACGCTGTCTCGATGGTGATGATATGAATGGTGATCGTGCTGCCAGGCGGAGACTGAGAAATAACAACGACGAGATAAAGTAGCAACAACAGCAGCAGCAGCAGCAGCAGCAACAACAACAACAACAACAGCGGCAGTCCACCGTAGCAGTAGCCGCAGCAGCAACAGCAGCAGCAGCAACAACAACAGTCCACCGTAGAAGTAGCAGCAGCAGAAACAGCAGCAGCAACAACGGCAGTCCACCGTAGCAGCAGCAGCAACATCACATTCAATACACGAAGCGACTTATACACGAGACTGAGAAATCTTTTTAATGTACCAATGTTTGTACCAATTACGTTATACGCGAATAGATACGGTACTATCGCGAACATGAGGGGACAGTACTGCGATGATGACGTCACCGGGCGGGCTTGCTAACTCACAATCAGGAGCCACGTCACGCTGGTTTCGTACGGGAAACCCGACTGGCCGCCAGGTAGCGTTGCTGAGATGTGTCCATAGCTGTGGCAGTGGACAAACACATTGCCTCCCGTCAGTCCGCCGACGTCTGTGCAGCGAGAAATCACTTGATCACGTGAGAATGCGTCCCCCCTGACGCCCCGCGACCCCGTTCACACCCGTCCTCCCTCAGTTACCTTTTGAACACGTTCCCTGGCGCCCTCCCCGCCTACCCTACCCTTCCCTGCCTATGAGAATATGCTCCACACCCAGTTCTCCCAAAAGAATAATCGAATAAACGATTGAAGATCGATCGAAGGATTTCAATCAAGTAACTGTCAGAACAATAGGGTTTACATCCGACAGGGCGTAGCATATTGTTAAATTATCTTAAATAATTAAAATTATTCAGAACAATGCGGTTCCTACATCTAACAGGGCGTAGCATATTGTTAAATTATCTGAAATAATTAAAATTATTCAGAACAATGCGGTTCCTACATCCGACAGGGCGTAGCATATTGTTAAATTATCTGAAATAATTAAAATTATTCAGAACAATGCGGTTCCTACATCCGACAGGGCGTAGCATATTATTAAATTATCGTAAATCATTAAAATTATTCAGAACGATGTGATTTACTTCCGACAGGGTGGTTGGCATCCTCGCAGTAGTCTCCATGAAGGCCGTCGGGACATATGCATTTTGCGCAGGCGTTCGGATTCTGCATGCCTCTGTTTTCACATGGCGCGCTCCCATGTCCGTTGCAGCTAGCTACAAGAGGCAGATGATAGACAGCTATGACTATAATATGATTATTAGCTACTACAGCTACAAGTCCATTCAATTAATCCAGTCCTCCGCAGTTAGCTACAAAAGACACACGGCGAGTGTAGCAGCGGAAGCGGCAGATGAAAGACGACTATGACCGGTTTAATACCGTGTAGTGCAGGATTAAACGTTTCTGCATGGGGAAAAGTAGGAACGGATTCCAGTCCGAGGTGATATTTATACTGCCACATAATCCGCTAATAATCTTGGTTAATTGCCTCGCTTGTCAACTGTCGGGAAACTGAGAAGGAGATTTCACTATTGCGCTGGGAGGGATACCGCTGCTGGTTACTGCATGGCACGCGTATAAGAACGAGAAATGATGAAAGAATATCAGTCTGTGGATAAAGGGATACTGCTACTCTCGTTATCGCTCGTTAATTGCTAATTAATAACTGCTGATTGCGCTTACAGCTGCAGTAGGCCATGTTGATGAGTTTAGCGTCGTAGAAGGTGATGCCCTTCCTGTAGGTTACGTCTCCCATGCTGTGCTGTAGGGTTGGATCGTGCGCCAGTAGGGTGAACTTATTGTTTTTAGAGAAATCCTGCAGACAGCACGAAGCAAAGTGATGAAGGTCAACTAAGGTTACGGTGCCGGGTGTCAAAATATCGAGAATTGATCAATAATAAAATCGATAATGAATCGATAAATCGATAATTGATTAATGATCACAAATTACAATCGATAACAGTTATTGATCTAGCCACTCGCCAGGTTTCCGTAGTGCATCACGCTGCTGAAGTCGTAGGCGATGCCTAGGGATGTCGCTTCACTCGACGTACGCATGTGAAAGTTGTGCTTCCTGTCGCTGCGTATGTTGCCCCACTTTACGGTCAGGTAGCTATCGCGGTCCGATCTGCTCTGCTCGTGCCAGAATCCCAGAGCGTGCCCGATCTCATGCACGATGAGCGTTTCCTTTGTAGGAGAGAGAGAAGATTGGAGGTGGATTTACTCATATTATTGATATTTGTCCTAGGGAGAATCTTCCTATGACAAATAGTGTCATAGGAGAGCGTATATGCGTATGTCGTATTTGTCCTAGGGAGGATCTTCCTATGACAAATAGTGTCATAGGAGAGCGTATATGCGTATGTCGTATTTGTCGTTGTTTTGCATGTTGCGCTACCACGGTATCGGCGGTGCTGACGGTCAGTGGTTCGTGCTTACCCAGTCGCAACAGTCGTTCTGAATAGAGATCTCCTGTCTGCCTCCCTGCATGCCTATGTAGGACCAGCAGCTGCGGAGAATAGTAGAATCAAATTAATTAATTAATTGAATGATTATAATAACTATAATAATATTGCGCCTTTTACCCTTACTACCAATCCCACACCACCACTACGTAACAACACTACATTTAAACGCTCGTTCCAAACTAAGCCATATCTAATTACGACCCAAAATTCAAAACCATATTCAAAGCCTTCGATTCATAGATTGGTCACCCACCCGCTGCCGGAGACGAATTCGATGTAGTTTGTGGTGGCGTGTGTTTTAGGGTGGAACTTCAGGCATGTCAGGTCCTCCCAAGCCGCCATCCCATCCAGGATCATGTGCTCGGTGTCGTGCTCTAAACAGAAACAAAATTAATGTTAATTTCAAAAAATGCGGAGAAGAGAGAGAGAGAGAAAAGAAAGCGAGAGAGAGAGAAAGAGAAAAGAAAGCGAGAGAGAGAGAGAGAGAGAAAAGAAAGCGAGCGAGAAAGCGAGAGAGAAAAGAAAGCGAGCGAGAAAGCGAGAGAGAAAAGAAAGCGAGAGAAAGCGAGAGAGAAAAGAAAGCGAGAGAGAGAAAGCGAGAGAAAGAGAAAGCGAGAGAGAGAAAGAGAAAGCGAGAGAGAGAGAGAAAGATAAGAAAGCGAGAGAGAGAGAGAGCGAGAGAAAGATAAGAAAGCGAGAGAGAAAGAGAGCGAGACAGAAAAGAAAGTTCTCTCAGCGTTTCTTTCTCTCGGCTCCTCATCTCATCGCTTTCTTCTCGTCGTCTTCTCTCTCTTTCTCGTTTATTTCTCTCTCTGCTCTTCTCTCTCTCTCCGCTGCTTCTTTCTCTCTCTCTCAACAGCTTTCATTCCTCTCTCCTCTCTTCTCTTCTCTCGGCTTCTTTCTCCCTCTTCTCTCTCGCTTCTTCCTCCTCGCTCTCAATCATCTCTCTCTCTCGCTTTTCTTTTCTCCTCTGCTCGTCTCTCCTCTGCTTTTTTTCTCTCGTCGCTTTCTTTTCTCTCTCTCTCCTCAGTCGCTTTCTTTCTGTTTCGCTGCTCTTCTCTCGAGTATCGGTTCTTATCTTTCTCATCGCTCTATCTCTCTCTCAGCTTTCTTATCTTTTCTGCTCTCTCTCTCTCTCGAGCTTCTCTCAGGTCTCTTCTTCTCTCTCTCCGCGCGTTGCTTCTCTCTCTCGTCTCTCTCTCGCAGTTTCGGCTCTCATCTCTCGCTTATCTCTCTCATCTCTCTCGCTTTCTTTCTCTCTCTTATCCGCTTTCTTTCTCTCTCCTCTGCTTCTCTCTCTCTCTCTCTGTCCTCTTCGTCGCCTTTTCTTTTTCTGTCTCGCTCTCATTTCTCCTCTCGCTTTCTTATCCTTTATCTCGCTCTCGTCTCTCTTTCTCGCTTCTTTATCTTTCTCTTCTCGCTTATCTTTTCTGCTCTCCGCATTTCTTATCTCCTCTCATCTCTCTCTCTCTCGCTTTCCTTATCTCTCGTCTCTCTCTCTTCCTCTCTCTCTCCTCTCGATCTCTCCGTCTCTCATCTATCCTCTCTCTCCTCTACTCATCGCTTTTCTTCTCTCTCTCCTTTCTCTCTCCTCAGCTTTCTCTCTCCTTCTCTCTCTCTCTCTCTCACTCCCTCGCTTTCCTTTCCTTCTCTCTCTCCTCATTGGCTTTCTTCCCCTTGTCTCTCTTCAAATCTCGATTTCTTTACTCTCTCATCTCTCTCCTCTCAGCTTTTTTTTTCTACTCTCGGCTTTCTTTCTCAATCTCTTCTCTTCTCTCGTCTCTCTCCTCTCTCGCTTTCTTTTCTGTCTCGCGCTCTCTTCGCTCTCTCCCTCGCTTTCCTTTCTCTCTGCTCGCTCTCCGACTCTCTCTCCTCTCTCTTCTCCGCTTATCTCCTACCTCTCTCTCTGCCTCTCATCCCCTTTCCGGTTTCTGCTTCTCTACGCTCTCTCCTCTCTTTTCTCTCTCCTCCTCTGTCTCCATCGGCTTTCTTTCTCCTCTCTCTCTCTGTCTTCCTCTCGCATTTCTTTTCTGTCTCGCTCCTCTTTCTCTCTCGCTTTCTTATCTTTCTCTCGCACTCGGCCCTTCTCCTCTCTCTCCCTCGGCTATCCTTATCTATTCTCTCTCTCTCTCGCTTTCCCTCTCCTCCGGCTTTATTCTCTTTCTCTCCTCCACTCGCCTTTCTCCTCTCTCTCCCCTCTCGCTTTCTTTCTCTCTCTTTCTCTCTCTCTCTCGCTTTCTCCCTCCTTTCCTCTCTCCTCCTCTTCTCTCTCATCTCTCGCTTTCTTTTCCCTTTCTCTCTCTCCTCTCGCTTTCTCTCTCGTCGTCCATCTCTCTCGTCTCTCTCTCCGCTTTCTTCCCCTCTTTCTTTCTCTGCCTCGCTTGTCTTTCCCTTTCTCTCTCTCTCCTCGCTTCCCTTTTCTCTCGTCGTCCCGTCTCGTCTTTTTTTTTCTCG